TGCTGAAGCTGAAACTAAGCAAAACTGTTAAAATGAGCTGAATGTTTTGAAAGATTTAGAAGCAAAAAGCACCAAAATGTAAATAAAGCACAAAAAGTGAAGACCGGACAAATCAATCCTTAACAGCAGAAAACTGAAATCTGAACATTATTTAAAAATCTGGACAGCAAAAAGGTCTAAACACTTGTTGTTTGAGTAGGACTAGTTTAACAGTTTCATTTTTAGTTGAACTGTGAAATGAGTAGCATAAGCCGAATTCAGAAACGGATTGCTGAAGTTGTTGAATAGCTGAAGTAAGCTGAAACTAAGCTAAACTGTTAAATGAGCTGAATGTAGTGAAAGATGTGAAAGCAAAAAGCACAAAGAAGCAAAAAAGCACAAAAAGTAAGTGAAGAATCAAGAAAACTAATTCTAAATAGCAGAAAACTCAAATCTGTGAACACTGTCTAAAAAAATTGGACAGGTAAAATGTCTAAACACCTGTTATTTTAGTAGGACTAGTTCAACAGTTTAATTTTTACATTTAGCTGAACTGTGAAATTAGCATCAAATGCTGAATTCAGAAACTAATTGCTGAAGCTGAAACTAAGCAAAACTGTTAAAATGAGCTGAATGTTTTGAAAGATTTAGAAGCAAAAAGCACCAAAATGTAAATAAAGCACAAAAAGTGAAGACCGGACAAATCAATCCTAAACAGCAGAAAACTGAAATCTGAACATTATTTAAAAATCTGGACAGCAAAAAGGTCTAAACACTTGTTGTTTGAGTAGGACTAGTTTAACAGTTTAATTTTTATATTTAGTTGAACTGTGAAATGAGTAGCATAAGCCGAATTCAGAAACGGATTTCTGAAGTTGTTGAATAGCTGAAGTAAGCTGAAACTAAGCTAAACTGTTAAATGAGCTGAACGCAGTGAAAGATGTGAAAGCAAAAAGCACAAAGAAGCAAAAAAAAAAAAAAGCACAAAAAGTAAGTGAAGAATCAAGAAAACTAATCCTAAATAGCAGAAAACAAATCTGTGAAAACTGTTTAAAAAATTGGACAGCTAAAATGTCTAAACACCTGTTATTTCAGTAGGACTAGTTTAACAGTTTAATTTTTACATTTAGCTGAACTGTGAAATAAGCATCATATGCTGAATTCAGAAACTAATTGCTGAAGCTGAAACTAAGCAAAACTGTTCAAATGAGCTGACTAGCGTTAAAATGTCAGCTATGCTGCTACTTTAGTTTTAAGTGTATGGGGTTGGTTGGTTGGTTGGATGGATGGTTGGATGGTTGGTTGGTTGGATGGAATGATGTATGGATGGATGGATGGATGGTTGGTCTGTTGGTCGGTTGGATGGATGGATGGATGGTTGGATGGTTGGTTGGTTGGTTGGTTGGTTGGTTGGTTGGATGGATGGATGGATGGATGGGATGGATGGATGGATGGTTGGTCTGTTGGATGGATGGATGGATGGATGGTTGGATGGTTGGTTGGTTGGTTGGTTGGTTGGTTGGATGGATGGATGGATGGATGGATGGATGGTTGGTTGGTTGGATGGATGGATGGATGGATGGATGGATGGATGGTTGGTCTGTTGGTTAGTTGGTTGGTTGCTTGGATGGATGGAGGGATGGAGGGATTGAAGGATGGATGGATGGATGGATGGTTGGTCTGTTGGTCGGTTGGATGGATGGATGGTTGGATGGATGGATGGATGGTTGGTTGGTTGGTTGGATGGATGGATGGATGGATGGATGGATGCAGGGATAGGACGGATGGATGGATGGTTGGTTGGATGGATGGATGGATGGATGGTTGGTTGGCTGGATGGATGGATGGATGGATGGATGGATGGATGGTTGGGTGGTTGGTTGGTTGGATGGATGGATGGATTCCTTAGGCCTAGCCGATCGATTTGATGCCTCACATGCGTGGGTGTGTAATTCCATTTAGCCGGAAGATGATTGACCTCTCTCAACCAATCAGGGAGCTGGGAGGGAGCGGGGCACTTTCCCACCTTCTGACGGTCAATCAAATTGAACATGTTTCTAGTTTGAAGTACAAATGGTTAAAAAAAAATCAAAAACAGGAGTCTGTTATTGGCTCAACATTCAGCTTTTTAATATTCATTCCTATGAGACTTGATTAAAGTGATATGTAGCTTCTTGTGTTGCCATGGTAACAGATAACGCATTTAAAATTGAATACAAGATTCCTGAGACCAAACTGGTCGATTTGATGTGTCATTTGTGTGGGTGCTGGATCCTGATTGGACAGAAAATGGTTGAACACTCTCAACCAATCAGAGAGCAGCACTGTTTTCCCGCCTTTTCCCCTTGGCTGTTGGAGGCCTGCAGCTGTACTCCTGTTAATGAGAGAAGCCTTAAAATCTGTCCTTCAGAAGTGAAATTGGACCTGTCAAACTTCTCATTACCATTCGAAAAGTACTGCACCGATTTGAAAAATTCAAAAAGCGTGAGTGGCAGAAGACTTTGATGATCATCTGTGCCGATTTGTATGTGCCTACCATGAATTATCTAGAAGCTATGACGAGAAACTTTTAGCTGTGTGAAGCCGATCTCAGGAGAAAATCTCTCTTCCTTTAACATGGGTTTCAATGAGACATAATCTGGGTCTCTCCTCCTTCTGAGGCTTGTAGCTAAAGAACGGTAACACCTACAGAGAAAATGAAACCCATTCTGAAAAGCTGACAAAAATTCCTACTTTTTGAGTTATAATTTGTTTTGGTAGTCCAAACGGTCTGGGGGTAGTAAAGAGTTGTTCACAGAAGATGTGAAGTTCAAAAGTTAGAGTGCGGAATCTTCAGTTTACAGTGGGGAGAGACATTTTTTTAAATTTGAATTTTTTCAAACAAGTTAACCGTACGACCACAATGTTTGGAGTACAGTCATGGATTATAGCTCAAAACGAAGGTATTTTTGTTAGCTGTAAGCCAGTGTGTGTTTCATTTCAATCGGACCTACGGTTCTCTTGCTACAATGCCAGAAATGGAGCAAGGGAGGGTCACTGCTCCTATCTTTCCCCATTATAACTTTTGTGAATTTTTCTGAAAATTTCAAGTCGTACCTCAACTTCTACCTGCGATTTTAGAAAAACCGTAAAAGATATCAAAAAGCCTCTTTAATGTGTTAAACAGGAAAGTCTTGTGAGTTTGTTAAACTTTGAATGAAGTCTCTGAGTTAAAAGGAACCCAGTAGAGTTTTAGGTCAAAAAAGTGATAGGAATTTGCTGAAAATTGACCAATCCCATTCATTTCAATGGGAAAATTTTTGCAGAAAAAGCTTAATAACTCGAAAAATTTTAAAGATATCAATGCCAAAAGTAATAGCCGGAAAGAGCTTAACGAGCTGAACGTTTTGGTATAAAATTGTTGAAATAGCTCAAAATTTGAAGGAGAAGAAGCGGTTCAAAAAGTGTACGGAAGCAGAATAAGAAGAAGAAGAAGAAGAATAAAGAGAAACAGGAAAACAATAGTTTGAATGCTTAACAGCATTCAAACAATAAAGAAAAACAGGAAAACAATAGTTTGAATGCTTAACAGCATTCAAACAATTACAGTTTAAAGTTTTTACCCCCCCCCCCCCCCCCAATAACATCAAACTATAGATTTTGCCGTGTCATTCAGTGAAAGTTCTTTGTTAATCATCTTCTGAAACCTTCCTCATCTACGCTGAGTGCCAGATTCAGTCTAATGAGCTCCAGAGCCTTGTGGCAGCTAGCATCGCTGCAGCTAGCATCACTGCAGGTGACAACACCTTACCTGGGAGATGGTTAGCAGCACAACTGGATAAAAAAATAAACAAGCTTTTATAGAAAAATGTAAACTTCAAAGTTTGCTCCAGTGTGTCTATTTTCCTTAAATTATCCTCAAATATAAAAAATCATAAACATATTTTACTCTAACCTTTGGTTCAGCTCAGCACAGATTCAAAACATCCCAGAATAAAAATCACAAGGATCCAAACCAATGAGAAGCAGCTCTCTAAAGTAATTTACAACACTTTATGCAGCCTAACAAAAGGCCTTTGTGGTTTAGGGTGCTGCTGAGAGTGAAGCTTCAGGCGCTCAGTGAAGAAATAAACCAAAGAAGCTTTTTAATCTCCTGGGATTCGGAGCAATCTGACAGAAAGTGGTGTCGCTGTTGTTTAAAGGCAATTAAAAGCAGGAGCTGAGCAGCAGGTGTGCCGTGTTCTCACTAAAGAATCAGAGAAACGTGACATTGAGGACAAATCGTCTGATTGCTCTGCAGTTACAGGAATCAGAAACTTGTTTCTCACGCGTAGATGTGTGATTTCTTTATTCCATCTTATGTGTTAGACTAACCACCAGTGAAGTATTGATACTGCTACAGTTGTTCAGCAGAAGACGAGGGAAGCTTCTTCAATTCAATTCAATTCAAAAATACTTTATTAATCCCAGAAGGAAACTGATTCTTCACATTCTGTCAGATTTGTTGTTGCCAACCAGCGAGAAGCCAAGAGAGATTTAAGTGTTTTTGTTTGTTTGTGATTTTATTCATCTGCGTATCTCTAACATTACAGGTGAAACAGTAAAAACTAGAACCTGGTGCAAAAGTCCATCTATGTCACTAATGTCCAGATCAGACTGAGAGACCATCTAAAGACTCAGGAACCCTCTGCAGGTGTTCTGGATTCATCAGCTGATTGGAGTGTCTAGAATATTCTGATTATCTGAGATTTTGAATGTGAGTTCCCATCAACTGTAAGCCAGAATCACCACATTTATAATAAATGAAGGATGAAATATCTGGATTAGCATGTGATGAGTCTACTCATAGATTAGTTTAACCTTTTAGGTTGGATTAGTGACATAAATTAACTTTTGCACCAGTTTCACCAGTCGTGATGGTGAGAACCACAGACCTTTAAAAAGATTTCTGGGAGGAAATTCTTCATATCGACACGAAGATAATTTCTGTTAGAGAAAAAAAGTGATTCAGATACAAACCGGTCAAATCTATCTAGATGTACCTTTTAACATCGACTTTGTCTTGGACTGAAGTGGCTTCTCTTTGGTTTCCATGGAAACCATCATTACTTCACTTTAATCTCTGATTCTGATCAACCCTGTTAAACAGGAGAGGGGAGCTAAACAACCTTTAACGCTAAAACGGAAAGAATGCCAAAAAGGAAAAAGAATGTTTTTACCTGCTTTAATTAGAAGTGATGTCAGATCAGAACAGACATTTTTATCTCCATCCTGCACAAACCAAAGGAAAACTTTTACTTACTTCTATCTTAGTTATGTAACTAATACATGAAACATTTCATAGACTTTTCTCTTGTTGGTTTTGGCTGCTAATATTTTTTAAGACTGAAATTGTTCTCCCTCACTCTGCGTGTGAGTTTAGTCCCCTTTGCCCAAAGAGATGCACACAAACAGACACAAACAAACATTTTAAATTTTAAAAGTTCATGAAAGTAATCAAATGTATGATTTTATGTAATGCTTGAATAACAAACGTGTTTTGATTAAATGATTCTTAACCAACACCAGTTAGGTGACTAAACTGCATAAATGTGAGTTTACAAAATCAGATAATTAAAGAGCAAGTCACCCCCTACCAGAGTATTACTCTGCTCCCACTTCCTGTTTGAAAAATGCAACAAATGCTGTTGCCTAGGGCGGAGCCACTAACAAATACACAAACACACACACAGGCTCACAATGACATTGTGACATCATATGGTACAAGCTAACAATCTAGGATACCTCTTAGCCAATAGTGATGCAGTGTTTCCCTTACATAGGCGTAGCCGTGGCAGCCCGCCACGGCTGAAATCCCAGCGCCACACCTGCAAGATCTCGTTTTATAGAATTTTTTTTATGCTGTTTCCCGAAGAAGCAGCAGGATCTACTCAGTTGTTTCTTGTGATCACAGCCGGCAGGCAGCAAGGAGGAGGCAGGGCAGGGTGGTTACAGCTACGGATGAGCCGCGGATAAAGCATTTTTGACGAATATGAGCATGAAACGAGTAAAACTCGTAAATATCTGTAATCGTGTTGAAGAAAAATCCTCATTGGGTAACTGACTGCCTTCACGCTCTGTGATTGGCCTGTCACATGGAGCGCCCGTCCCTCCCTACACACATCTCTGCTCCGGCCCATGCACACACACACAGACAGTAATGGATCTCTGTGCTTGCTTCACTGTTGCTCACGTTTCTGCGGTACTCCCTAGGTTTTCTTCAGCTCGCCTCTTTTTCGGTTGAATATTTAAAGTTTTTTTTTTCGTAACGTACGTGGTGCATTCGACAAGAGAGAGCTAAAAACGGCTCGTGCATGCGTCGGTCACTGCCTCCGCTCCGATCGGGTTTTTGAAATTATTTTAACCCCTCCTCCCCTGTATCCCTCTCGCCCTCTCTATCACTCTCTCTCTCTCTCTCACACACACACACACACACACACACACACACACACACACACACACACACACACACACACACACACACACACACACACACATCAACATTGTTTTGTTTAACTGTGTGTGGGTAAAATGCCAACAACATTAGGAAAAAATCAGTTTAATCAAATTAAAATAAAATGGTTCTAGTATTTCATATTTCCTAGTTCCTACTGCATGAGTTCAGATGCATTAATTCATGCACTTAAACATTAATGTTCTGATTTTACTGAAAAACGTGTTTTGTTCTGTTCTAATAGTAACAGTTCCTTTATTATTGTGATCAAAAATATTTAATCTCAATTCTGAGGCTGCTCTGTAAATAGTTTTCCAATAAACAATACACCTAGCAACTTCTGATCAATCCATATCAATTTCTGATTTAAAATAATGTATTGATGTAAACCACACCCACTAATTTCCAAATAATAAGGTGCATTCATCTGTGTATCTCCTTTGATCCACGTTAGTGATGTTTTCAGCACCAGAACAAGTCAAGTCAAAGTCAAAGTCATTTATTGTCACTTCTACCACATGTGCAAGACATACAGAGAAACGAAATTAGAGTTTCAGTACACACAATTCAGAGATCAGACATACATGGGCAAGACACATGACAAGAATTGGTGACTGTGGTCATTCTCAACATGAGTCGCGCTACCTTCATAGATGAAAAGGGAATTACATGAGGTTAGGTTGGTGGAGGGAAAGAAAAGGCATACCAGAGTTACTCCCGACAGGGCGTAGCTGTACTATGCAAAAAAACACCTCAAACATATAAGCACGAACTTCAACATTCACAACATGAGACTCCGTTGGGGGGCTGGGGCTGGGATCCTGTTTTTCCAGGGCCAGCAGCCACGTGCGGCGCTCAGCCAGCTGTGTCCACAGGAGGGAGAGAGATCTTGGGAGGGGCGCAGAGCACATTCCTGCAGGTTGATGGCCTCGCTGTGAAGTCCACAATCTGAAGGCGGGTGGGGTGGGGGGTGGGTGGGGGGGGGGGGCGGGTTCCACAGCATCTGTCTGCATTCCTTCCTTCGTGGGGGATGATTATTTGCAGCTTCAAGGCTGCATGGCGTCAGATAAGGATAACAAGACTGTGTTTGGGTCAGGCAGAGATAATTTCCCTCTGCCTTCAGTCTGTAACTGGTCATCCCAGTCCTTCAGTGAAGCCAATTCGGGTTATTAAACATCTCCACACCGTCCGGTGACCCTGTCCGAGATGACATCCATTTTGAGCACTAACACCGGTAACGCAGCTAAGACATTGTCCAGCTTACGATTCACCTCGAGTAACGCCCCAGTCTGTGAGGTCTCCACCCGGACGGTGCCGTCCATGGGTGCGGGTCGCCCTCCAATCGCTCCCGTCATCCCAATTTTTCGGAAAACCAGATATCCTCCCACTCCATTCAGAAGAAATCCAGTGATCATCAGGCCAAATATCCACATATCTTCGACGTCCTCAATGGACAACTAGAGCCCTTTTCAGACTGACATTCTGGAACATTTGCGGACAATTCAATCCGTTTTTTAACCGGAACTGTGTTTTCAGACACACCACTTTTGTACCGGAACTTGTCCTTTCGGCTGCGTTCACACAGCAGGGAAAAGTTCCAGATGTCTGACGGCGGCGGGGGGTGGGGTGGGGGTGGGGGGGCGGGGGGTGGGACTTATGTTAAGAAGAAGAAGAAAATATCATTTCTATAGCGCCTCTCAAGATAAAAATCACGAGGCGCTTAAGCATAATTCTGCGCACACGAAGACGCATAAGAGACCTGGATGATGAAGCTCAATGGTTAAAGGAATCACTGAAGCGGTGTGAAGCGCTCCGTCGCGCGTCTAGATGGTACCATAGGAGGCGAGCTGCCGTGGTTCGCCGCATGCTACAGCAGCGGGCTATCTAGGTGCGCACAGCGTCCCCTGGGCCCCTCCTCCTCCCCCTCCCTCTTGTCCGGAACTTTACCTCACCAGTCTGAAGAAGCCACCCTGTCCGTAACAAGTCCGGACCTGTTACTAGGGGCTTCGTCCGGATAAATTCCGGAACACGTTATCCGGATGTTTGTATCCAGACAGAAAGGTCTTACGGACAGATTCCGGAACATTTCCGTTTTTCACGGCCTGTCTGAAGGGGGCTTGAGAGAGACGGATGACCTTCCACTCCTTCCAGGAATCGAGCATATATCCCGCTGCGTGTGTCCCGTGAGGACAAGTGGGAGCCCCCTCCTCCGTTCTCACTGTAGAAAAAATCTTATCAATCGCGTTGAATGACCAATTAATTAAATCCATTTCTGAAAAATAGTGATTTCCAGAGAAAAAAAGATAAGGGAGCAAAGCAGAAGCGACTGTGCTCTGTGAGTGCCAGGAGAAGAAGAATCAAAGAAACAGATTCCTGAGTTTATGTCAGTAATTTTATTTATTAGGTGCATCTGACCTGTTCTATTTTTCTCTGAAATGAGATCAAATCAGTGCTTCTATGGGTCGTCTCCTCTCTGCACTAGAAACATGTACTTTATTATAATGTTCACTGTAATGCATCTTGATGTTCTTAACAAATAAATTAAATCAAAGATACTGGTCAATAATGCCAAATATGTAAGTATGTGTTTCAGTCATTTTTATACTGGCTTAAAAATACTTCATTAAGTCTACTAAGCAGGGGTGTAGAACGTGTTTAACAGGGCCAGCCCAGTAATGATCTTGGACCAAAATAAAGAGGGCAGAAAGTCAATTAAAGGGGGCAAAAGGAGATGTTCAACGCCACAACACTGACAGTTTTAGGCAGAAAATTCAAATTTTAACTAAAATGCACTAAAGTGCAAAACTATTGACGACATGTGTCTGCAGCACGATTAGACACGCATTTATATAGTTTATCAGAAAAAATGTTGATTTGGGGGTGACTTGCTCTTTAAGTGACAATCTGAATCAATATAATTCAGACCAAAATGTAACTGCAATAAGGCTGTTTATGTTTAAATATCATCGCAGACGAAACTGAGTGAATTCGGTTTAGGAATCTGCTTGTTTTGTTTAGAGTTTCTGAATCAGCTGAAGCCCAGAGAAAGCTGCTGCCAGCTGGGTTTTCCTGTTAATTAATCTGAGCCCATGTGGGCTGTTTTAAAGTAAATGAAGTAACATCTCCATCTAATCAGACTGAAATCTGCTTCAGTCTTGGATCCTCTTCGGCTTTCAGCTGATTAAAACGTGAAGCGAGCTGATGAATGAACAGTCGATGCTGCGTTTTCAAAGTTTCTGGAGACTTTTTAGCCTCCAGTCACCACAAACTCATCTTGGACAAATTTTGACATGATTTTTACATGTGAAGTCTTTAAAATGAAATCAAATGTACAAACCCTCAGGTGTTGCGTTAGACCAGTGGTGTCTAACCCTGGCCTGCAGGAGGGCTCCTATCCAGCATGTTTTAGGCATTTCTGAGCTCCAACCCACCTGGTTCAGTGGCTGAATCACCTGTTCAGCATCACCAAGCCCTGCTGAAGCCTGTTAATCACCTGCTGAATAAAATCAGGTGTGTTGGAGCAGAGAAAACTCTTTACATGCAGGATGGCTCTTCAGGACCAGGATTGCACACTTGATAAGTCAAACCTGCACAGCACAAAGATAAAGTTGTTTTATTTATTATTCAGTCCAAAACTATTCTTACAGTTTTATCTGTTTTATTTAGATGAAATAAAATTGGACAAATGTTTTATGAGATGTCTCTTTCTCTCTCTGATTATTTTTTATTACCTTCCTTTAACAATTTTGCCTCTAAGTTGGGAAGCAGAAAACAAGCAGCCCATCTGTTCTCATTTACTTAGCTAAACCTATGGAGACAGCCGTTAACCACCTTTGTTAAACTGAACAAAACTACAAAACTAAAATAAATCTAAAACAGCCAGAATGCTTGAATAATAAGTTTAGAATGCTGACCTCATGTTAAAGTTACCTTGTGTTGATGTTGTTTGTATGAAATCCTTCAGAAATTCAGCAGTCTGTGTGTGCCAAACCCGTAGTTAACCACGTGACCGTCCTTAAAGTTTGGATTTTTGAGTTCAGTTTCTTTTTGCATCCATAGATCCCAACAGACAGGTCATTACATCATCCAAGACCAGAATCTGAGTGAAAAAAACCAACAAACAAAAGCTGCTGATCTGAAAAACCTTTGATCAAGAACCACTTTACAAGATTAGTGTGAAATCAGGCTGGTGGGAAGGAAAAGAAATGAGGTGGATTAAAACTTTTGCACAGAACATAACCCTCTTGGACCAAGAAGCACAAAAATATAAGTTTGTGTTGCATCAGGAGCACACACACACACACACTCACACACACACACTCTCTTAGACTCTATCCAAACCTGGATGGCTGGGAGCTTTCTTCTGCTGAATGAAGATAAGACTGAGATCCTCATCTGTGCCCCAGACAAGCTGGTTCCCAAAGTCAGAGACTCTCTTGGTCAGCTTGCTTCTCACACCAAACCTTCTGTCAGGAATCTTGGCGTGACCTTTGACCCAGCTCTCACCCTGGATTCTCATGTCAGTTCTCTTGTTCGCTCTTCCTTCTTCCATCTCAGGAACATTGCTAAGCTGAGTCCCATTCTGTCCCGCTCTGAACTTGAGACAGTTCTCCACACCTTCATCTCCTCACGCTTAGACTACTGTAACTCTCTTTTCACGTGTCTGAGCAGAACCTCCCTGAACCGTCTACAGGTGGTTCAGAACGCCTGTGCTCGGCTTCTGACCAAGTCCTCCAAACACACCCACATCACCCCGCTTCTCCTCCAGCTCCACTGGCTGCCAGTCAACTTCAGGGTTCATTTCAAGATCCTGGTTCTGGTCTATAGGGCCTTACATGGACAAGCACCATCTTACATTGGTGATCTTCTTAAGCCGGGCGTACACTGTGCGACTTTTTCCACTCGTAGCACTCAGCTTCAGCTCAAACTGTACGACTTCCTCGCAGGGCAGATCTCACGAGCCAGGCGCTCACACTGCACGTCTGGTAGCAACACGTCGGCCCTAAAAATATGCTAAAAATAGCAGTTTTTACACAACACGTTAGACTTTTTGGTCTTGTTTAGCCTGTTGTCCTTTGGGAGTGCTGCAGGAGGACACACAGGGATTTATGGGGGTTGGATGAGGAAAACAAAATAAAGAAAGTAAATCTGTGTTTTGTGATCAGTTTAGTTTGACATGAACATGACAAACATGCTTTCTTGACAATCTTTGTGAGTAAAAAAACGTGTAGAAACAAAAACGAACAGCGTGTGTTATTAGGGAAATAGTGAGCGAGCGGCGTTGATGCAGGATTGCGCATGCGCCGTGAGCGGTTCTGATACTTTTTGGGTCGCAGCTGCTCGCAGCGCTGCTTCAACAGTGCGATACCCTCACGAGGGACGAGCAAAATATTAAACACGCCAGAAGTCCGTGCGAGCTCACGATTGCTGATCGGTAGCTGGTCACGTGGTGTTAATCGCCTCTCGTAACCCCCTGTACACTACACGACGCACAGGCGCAAAACTCGCCCCGATGTAGTGGATTCTCGCACGACTGGAAAATCGGCTCAAAAAAGTGAAAAAGTCGCACAGTGTCCACCCGGCTTTAGTCCCTACACCCCCAGCAGGTCCCTGAGGTCCAGTGATCAAAGCCTACTGGTTGTGCAGCACCAGGCTAAAGACCAAAGGTGACAGATCATCTGCTGCTGTGGCCCCCAGACTCTGGACCTCTCTCCCCCTGAGCCTGAGATCAGTGGACTCAGTGGTCTCCTTTAAAAAGCAGCTGAAACTCACTTGTTCAAGCTGGCTTTTGTATGACCTTCTTCACCCCTCTCTCTTTATTCTGCTTTCCCACCTATTCCACCTTCCTCAGGATCCACTGATTTCCCTCTTTCCTGTTCACTCTCTCTCTTTCTTAACATTTTTTCTTTTAAATCGCAATTGCCTATTTTTGCTCATTTTAAATCTATTTTTAAACATTTTCTAAATGTTTTTTTTATATTTTTATAATTTTTCATATTTTTTGTTTTTGTGAAGCGCCTCGTGATCTTTATCTTGAGAGGCGCTATAGAAATTATATTTTCTTCTTCTTCTTCTTCTTCTTCTTCACACACACGCACACACACACACACACACACACACACACACACACACACACACACACACACACACACACACACACACACACACACACACACACACACACACACCTGAGATAATCTCCTCTGAGATGACTAGATTAGTCCTCCTCTCAGAGAGATTTGTCGGTGGTTTTTCTCCGATTGTGGTTTAAAATCTCTGGTTCAGAACTAATTAATTGATAATTTTAGTTATTAACGAACCTTTAGTGCAGTATTTTCTGCTTTACTTTGATGTTTGCTTTAAACAATAATCAGAATAACCAATCAGAGTTGGGTCGGGTGTTAACCAGCTGATGTCCAGATGAATCAAAGCTGCGTTATTCTCGGTGCTTCTCCTGTCAGGGACGGTGGTGCTCACTGTCACAGACTTTGATGATGTTTGCCTTCATCCTGGGAAGCTCATCATCCTTAGAACAGCTGGGCTGCACAACTTCATGCAGGCAGATCAATCAGATGGCTGCTGGACTCTCCTCACCGGTGGTGTGAGAGAAATCGATTTTCTGCTTTGTTTTTATTTCCTCCAGCAGCCTGGATGAGTTTCATGATCACAATCTGGTTCTGATGTCAAAACAGAAGTCATCATAATTTATTTGTGAGGATTAAAATTGATAATTGTACTATTTTTGTTTGTTTCTGTGTAAACGTTACTGATAGCTTCATGAACGAAAAACAAGCTAAAATGATCAAAGTTGTCTCTTTAAAGCTGTTAAATGATAAATGACCTGCACTTTTCTAATTCAGAGGACTCCAACGTGCTTTACACTACACTCAGTCACACATTCACACACTGATGGTGATGAACTACATTAAAATAAATAAATTATAATTATTCATATACTTTTAAAACATGTTGATAAAGCTTAATTAAAGCCAAATGTTCTCTTTGGAAGAGACATTTTTCTCACAGCTCATTGACTTGGAAATCACAGCCTTTAATAGCTTTTTCTGGAGTTGTTTGTGTTTACTTGAAACTCAGTTTAATGTTCTTTCTTTGACTGTGGCGAAGCTCCATCAAACACACTCCAGTAGCTGCACAGACACACCATTAATTGTTCCAATAATCAGCTTAAATTGCTGTCTAATTAGTAGATACTTCTGTTTTTCCTCATGCAAAGCCTTTCAGTGAATGATGAGCTGGGGGTTCAGAGGAAGCCAAGCTCAGCAGGGCAAGAGAGGCATGCTAATAATAATCATAATAAAGATTTATCAACACGCGAGCTGTCTAATCTGCATCACATTCCTTCACAGCTTGAGCTGCATGCTGCAGGGACATTACTGATCTGTGTTGACTCAGAGGCAATTTTCCACTCCAGCGCTCAGACGGTGATCAATGAGCCAAAGTGACGGCGGAACGGGAAAGAAAAGAGTCATCTTAAAGAAAAATGCTGCTTTTTGTTCAGACTGAGATAAGATGCAGCAGCACAGCTGACCAACACAGAGAAAGCACCACGACGCTCCATTCCCCCGAGGTGTAATGATCCCAGATCAGCGGAGGGGATGTCATTGAAACGGATTAAATACTCATATCTCCATTCTTTACCTTGTAACTGGGTTAGGTGAACTAGTATGAAACACCAACAGCTGCAACATGATCTCTGTTTAATCGGTTTCATTTTAAGACAAAAACTTTTAATCTGATCATTAGGAATGAATGCTTGTGTCACATGACCCTCAAGGAGGTGCAGAACTAAACTCGAGGATCCACCGACTCAAGATTTATTATAGTTATCCAAATTCAAGACAGCACTAATACAAATAACACTTCATAGAACTCAGTTTAGTGTGTTTATCAGAATCAGAAGAGGTTTATTGCCATTGTCAGTGAACAAACAATTCACAAACTAGGAACTTGCTTCAGTACTAATGTGCTACATATAACATGAATAATAAGATTAAAAATAGAATGAATAGAATAAGATATAATAATAAAAAAAACTAGAATAAAACTTTCAGCTATAAAAATGGCAGGTAATGGTAACATGGCCGATAACGTGACGTTGTGTCGAGTACAGAAGACCAGCATGGTTGTGTGTTTATAAACTATTCACAAGTCTAACGGCAGATGGAAAGAAGCTGTTCTTATGGCGAGAGGTTCTGGTCTGGATGGACCGTAACCTCCTGCCTGAGGGAAGCGGCTCAAAAAGTCTGTGACCCGGGTGAGAAGGGTCAGCTGCTATCCGACCTGCACGCCCCCGAGTTCTGGAGATGTACAGGTCCTGGAGAAATGGAAGGCTGCAGCCAATCACCTTCTCAGCAGAGCGCACAATGCGCTGCAGCCTATGTTTGTCCCTCACCGTGGCTCCAGCGTACCACACAGCGATGGAGGAGGTGAGGATGGACTCAATGATGGCCGTGTAAAACTGCACCATCATCTGGGCCGGCAGCTTGGCCTTTTTCAACTGTCGCAGAAAGTACATCCTCTGCTGGGCCTTTTTGATCAGGGAGCTGATGGATGGCTCCCACCTAAGGTCATGTGTGATGGTGGTTCCGAGGAAGTGGAAGGAGTCCACAGTGGTGACGGGGGTGTCCGTCAGGACGAGGGGGAGAGATGGGGCTGTGACTTTCCTGAAGTCCACAATCATCTCCACTGTCTTCTGAGCATTGAGCTCCAGGTTGTTGCTGCTGCACCAGTACACCAGCCGTTCCACCTCCCTCCTGTAGGCGGACTCATCACCATCAGAGATGAGCCCGATGAGGGTGGTGTCGTCCGCAAACTTGATCAGTTTAACGGAGTCATGGCTCGAGGTGCAGCAGTTTGTGTACAGGGAGAAGAGCAGAGGAGAAAGTACACAGCCCTGTGGAGATCCTGTGCTAATAGTCTGAATGGTGGAAACATTCTTCCCCAGCCGCACGCACTGCCTACGGTCCGTCAGGAAGTCAGTGATCCACCTGCAGGTGGAGTTGGGTACGTTGAGCATGGAGAGCTTATCCTGGAGCAGAGCAGGGAGGATGGTGTTGAACGCAGAGCTGAAGTCCACAAACAGGATCCTAGCGTAGGTTCCCTGGGAGTCCAGGTGCTGCAGGATGAAGTGGAGGGCCAGGTTGATGGCGTCGTCTACAGACCTATTAGCTCTGTATGCGAACTGCAGAGGGTCCAGGAGGGGGGAGGTGAAGGACTTGAGATGAGGGAGGACCAGGCGCTCAAAAGACTTCATGACTACAGACGTCAGCGCCACAGGCCTGTAATCATTCAGTCCAGTGATACGGGGTTTCTTAGTGACAGGGACAATGGTGGACAGCTTAAAGCAGGCTGGAACATGGCAGGACTCCAAGGAGATGGTAAAGATGTCCGTGAAGATTGGAGACAATACCTCTGCGCAGTGTCTCAGGGTAGCGGGGGAGACACCGTCCGGGCCCGGGGATTTCCGTGGGTTTTGCTTACGGAAAAGCCTAAACACATCTCTTCTGTCACTGAGAAGGCAGTGGAGGGGGAGGGGTTGTCAGCGGGGACTGTACTATTCACAGTGGTGAAGGTGGTGGGGGAGGCACGTGACACCAGAGTGGCTGAGGAAACCTGTGCAGTAGGGGGTGTGGGGGATGGGTGTTGAATTTCAAACCTTGCATAAAAGGAGTTAAGTTGTTCAGCCAGTTGTAGATCGTCAGCAGCATGTTGGGCTCTAGGCTTGTAGTTAGTAATTTGCCTGAGCCCTCTCCAGACAGAGGCGGTGTCATTGTCAGAGAACTGCTCCTTTAGACACATATTGTACCGGGAATAAATTATGAATTATGATGCATAAATGTAAATAAAAATACTAAATAACATTTACAGACATGCAGGATTCCTGTGTGCATCATACTATTTTATCACCAGTTTGTTGCTCGAGTCTGCAGTCTTGTTTCGACCCTGAAACGTGTCACATGTTCTTTAAGCTTTGATGTTTATGCTTTGAAGAACACTAAAGAAATCTTGAGTCATCCCAGTGTTTGATGTTTGAGACGTAAAAGTCAATAGAAATGTTAAAATAAAACCCTGAAAAGTTAAGATTCCTTAAACGGAACCGTCCCTTCGGCAGTGGAGAAAACTCTCTGGAGCATCCAGAATCACCATGCACCTAGAACGTTCTCATTAATGCTTCGACAAGCGTTTCTATGCTCCTTTGAATGACTTTAAGCATCTCAGCGTCTCGTGTCCACAGTCTTTTAAACAAATGCGTCTGCATTTGTTTTCCCCAGCAGGAAGTTTTGTCTCAAGGCGGATCATTTGAGCTTGTTGAGAGGCTGTTTAGTCTGGATGTAATTCCTATCAACAGCTCTGCAGGGACACGGATAAACATCGGAGGACAGGCTGAGGACGTGCTTGTCCTTCCACACAAAGAAAACAGCACTCAGATGTGAAGGAAACTCACTGCTTTTGTTTTTATTATCCTGAAACGTGACGGCCTCCCGTCTGAGATCCATAGTAACACACCAACAGGAGCAGCTTTGACATGATCAGAGTCATTATTTAAGAACGAATAAACTGGTTTCGTATGAATAATTTGGTGTCAACTAATAAAAAGCTAAAGGCAGTGTTCTTCATCGTTGCTGCCTGAAAATGCATATAATCTTAAATAACCAGCATGTTTTCAAAACAAGATACCCTACAGACCCGAGATAAACTGACTGATAAGCTCATGGCTAGTTGGGACACAGCTACCATCTTAAAATGTCTCCAATCCCCGACATTTTACAGTGATTCATGTGATGTTTTTCATAAACTGTAAAATCCAGCCCAGCTGTTCAGAAAACTTCCTGTTTCTGTGTGATGAAGATACCTGCCTAGCTGTTAGCTCATCAGTCTGTATGGTGTTGTAATCAGACTGGACAGGCTAATGATTTTAACTAGAGGTGCTGAGAAAAATCGATTCAAGTCTGAATCGGGATTCTTATTTGTAAAGATTCAGAATCGATTCCAAGAACTCAAATGTTTGGCATGTTACAGGTTTGAGATGCACTTTTGTCTTTTTTATTTAAATTTATTTTTATCTTTGTTAGAAGAGTTAGTACTCCGTTTACTTTTGTGGCCCCATAAACTGAGATGATTTATTTTTGAATCTGCTAAGTCGGCATTTGACTGTAATTTTTTCCATACTCAGAAATTTGAGATATTCTCATATTTATTTTCTAAGTTGATAAGTGAGTACTCAGGATTACTCGTGTGTTTATTTGAAGTTATTGATAAATGAGAGAACACATTTTCCTTTGTAAGAAACCTGAGGCACTTTTTTTAAACAGGTTGAGGACTCATGTTAAACTTGTTCCACGTATACTTAAAAAGTATTTTACTGTATTACTTTCAAAGCTACTGTTAGGTAACTAAAGATTTGTAAATTTTACAAGGTAAACAAAAATAAATGTTGCCTTTTGATCAAAAGATTGTTTCTGTTTACAGTTTTAGAATCACTTTATTTTACCTTGTACATTAGCTTTTCTTATCATTACCAATTTAAAGTAAAATAAACATTTCCCATAGCTTTAACTAACTTGTACAACTAAGTAGTTAATCCAACTGACACTTTTTGTTAATATTGATTGTGAATCGATTTAAATCGAGAATCAATTCTGAATCAAATCAGCACACAGAGAATCGGAATCGAATCAAATCGTGAGTTGCTCTAAGATTCACATCCCTACTACACACAGAAAAACAATTTTCCATCATTTCCTTCTGATCATCATTCTGATCTTCCTTAGGTCTCATCGTTGGATCTCTGATGGTTTGCTGGCTTCCCAACCAGATTCATCGCCTCATGAAGGCCGCTGTTCCCAAAACCAACTGGACTCTTTCCTACTTCCGGAGCTACGCAGCCCTCCAGCTCGTGGCCGACACCTTCTTCTACCTGAGCTCTGTTCTCAACCCTTTCCTCTACAACCTCTCGTCCAGACAGTTCAGGGAGGTGTTTGTTCAGGTGCTGCGGTGTCGCCTCACCATCCAACACGTCAACAAACGCACCATGCAGCAGCCCAACGCCTCCTCTGCACGCTCCCTGCAGCCACTGCTGCTGAGGTCACTGCGTCGGAACAAGTCGACGAGTAAAACAACCTCTCATCAGAACCCGCCCCCGACCTTTACAATGTTTCAGACTGTGAGTGACTCAGGAGTGGCGTCAAACACTCAGACGTCCATCAGCCTGACTGAAGAGCTGGTTTTGACTCTCGAAGCACCAATGAAAGCTCCATCAGAGACAGAAATATGATGTGTCTCTGATGAGTTCAGCTTTTATTATTTTCTAGGAGGGCTTGAATTTTAAGTGCATATAAATGTGAGTGAGTGAATGGTTGTTTGTCTCGGTGGACTGGAGTGACCTGTCCAGGGTGTCCCTCACCTCTCGCCCGATGACAGCTGGAGATGGACACCAGTCCCCCTGGTTAAACGGTTAAGAGGACAGATGGATGGAGTTATTTCAGAGTAAATCTAAATGTTTTCCCTACAGTTTTGATTTCATGGTCTGAATAAATGAAACTGACGAGAGATGAGTTGGTCCTTGAACATCAGCACGGTGAAGCTCTTCTATCCTCCACCTCCCGAGGCAGCGCCATCGTGTTCTTCACTTGATAATGCAGATTTGAGTTTTCCTGCTGCTTATTTTAACCTCTGCCTATGTGCCCTTGGGCAGCTGTGGCCACAAAGTAGCTTATCAGCATCTGTGTGTGAACGGGTGAAAGGGTGAGTAGTGTAAAGCGCTTTGGAGTCCTCTGACTCAGAAAGGCGTTATACAAGCGCAGGACATTTAGCACTGGTCATCAAAAGGCAACAAAACGGGCAGGAAGTGGTGATAGTTGGTGTGTAAAGCATGTTGTCTTATCTCACTCAGTTCAAGTGCAAAGCCTTTCCACGCTCGGGTTTTGAGGTTCTTGTTGCAGATATCTGTCAGCAGAAGATGGAGTCCAGCAGCAGGAGGAGGCTGAGTGAAAACATAGGATGCTGCAGGGTGTTAGGCGCCATGGCGGCGGATGGCGGGGGCAATTTCTTCCGCCGCGGACCGTTACACAGTGGCGTGTTGCAGCAGGTGATGCACACCGAGTTGAGTTTGCCGGTGCAGAACTGTTGGTAGCCGGAGGAGGCGATCAGACAGGCTCCTGATGAGGCACAGGACTTACGGTAGTGTATCCCTGAAGAAAAGACACAAATGGAGGCATTAGGGGTTATAACGAGATGATTACAGGCGGCCAACAAGGACAGAAACAGATGGCTGCATGTAATGCAAAACCTTTTCTTTCATCTTGGGTATCCGAACTAGAAGGAAAACATGATTTCAACATCTTTTCATCTGTCCGTGCAGGGGGAGCAAAACCCTGAATTTGTTACAGTTCCTTTACAGTCTGACTGAATAAATCTCAATTTTCTGCAAACCAGACAAAAATCATTAAAGATGCATTCAGAAGGCAGGTTAAAATAATTGTTACGGCCGCCGCCGTTTTGAAGCCCAGTGGTGTGCTGCGCACCGTTCCCTGTGCAGCAGCGCAGCTCCACGGACAGCTACGCCTTGGGAAGCTGTCCTTACTCCAGCACCATGGACAGCGCCGGAGCGGCAGTCACGCCAGCTGGGGCTTCTCATCTCATCAGCCGGCCCTTTAAAAGCGGCCAGGTGGAGCTCATCGGGGAGAGAAATGTTTGGTGTTGCAGAGGCAACGTGTGTTCTCTCCCCGTTGGCGGTTACCAGAGATTTTGTGGTTAATACCAGGTTGTGGTTTGCTTCTTTTGAAGAAGCAGCTTTAGAACCTTTTGTGTTTGGGAAATTCGCAGTTAAGCGGTAGTTTTTGGTTTTGGTGTGTCTACAAGACCACCTTGTGGGTAAATTAACAGGTGGGGGGGGGGGGGGGGGGGGGGTCCCCTTTTTGAAGTCTCAGTTTCCTGAGCTATTTTCGTTGTTTGGGTAGACTTAAGTTAATTCAGTATTTGGTTTTGTCCTTTAGACAAACCTTATTTAATTTAAGGGTGGGATTTTTTCCCCTTTTGAGTTTCATCCCCTTTGTAACTAAAGGAGATTTATTTAGGATTTAGGATCTAGAGTGGATGGTCCTCTGGACATTTTCAGTTAATTAAGGATACCTTAAGTTCTAGGTAAGGGTTTTTTGACCCTTCTTTTGGTTCTTTTTTTTAATAAAACCTTTGAAATTACAAGGACACTTTGAGTTTGGTTTTGCTTGGTCAAGCCTTTTTCTCCCCAACGAGGGTCACTTTTTGTTAGACTGGTCCATCTTATGTTTATTCCCCTCACCTTCCTAGCTGAGCCCATAGAGGGGTGTAACAATAATGGAAAAACACCATAAAAACCAAGCAGCAGCATCCTAGAAGATTGTTTTCTTCACCGTGTTACTGATGCAGGAGTTCCAGAGTCACACAGCTGCTTCACTTATTACAAAACCGCAAGAAAAACAAGCAACTAATCCAGAGTTTACATCAACTAACCCCAACAAAGATGCAGTGATCCAGAATATTTGGTCCTGAGCGTAAGGATGGGAAACAGGTGGATCCCACATCTGATGGTCAAAAAGAAGCACAAATAAATGATCAGAACTTCCAAGATCAGTTTCTTTTTCTTTCATTGAGACGTGAGCAGAAGCTCGAGCTTTACGCAGGCATGGACCTTACTGTGTTGTGTTCTTTCTCCAATTTGTTTTACTCAAAACTTACTTTCAACTAATTAGAAGAAGCGACAATCAGCCTTATTTTTTCCTGAGTTGTGAACAAAAAGCTTGATTTGAACATATATTTAAAGATATTTCAGAACTTTGTCTCCTCTCCAGCAGCTTTAATCCACCTCATCATGTTTAGCACGCACACAAGCCGTTTACGCAAAAAGCCACTCGGAACGTGTCAGAGTTGTTTGTTAGATTACTGGAGGGAGACTTCAACATTTGGCTGACATTTTATTCCCAAATAAATTCAGATATGAGCTCCTGACCTTCCAGTAACTTGCACTGGAGTGCAACAGCTGCAGACACAGGAGCACCCCGAGAACTCATTTAAATTGTGCGTTCTCCCATGTCTTACTCTGCAAATATGGCAAAGGTCCCAGGAGGTGTTCAGTTATCCAACACCGTGTGAAATGTGCCAAAGAAAAAAGTTTTGGCTTCTCTTGGAGAGTGTGTCCCTGTTTATAAGTTCTGGGAGAAAACCATCAGCGAGTCAGCTCAGCAAGACCAGGAGACACTAATAACTTCAAACTTCCACGAAAACAACAAACTTCAGAGCAGTTCTTCTGTTTAACCACATTTATGCAAATTACTAAACACACTGATTTTTTTCCCACTGATACAGTAAATTAAGTTTAGAAAAGTGCAAAAATCCAATTTAGATAAGGCAGAAAATCAGGGAGACGTGGTTGAAAGTCCGTTCTGTGGCGTGTCTCAGCTGAGCAGCGAGGACTAAGAAAGGTCAGGAGTTCATTTTAATGCCGTCTGAATCTACTCAGTGACTTTATACTCATATTGTCAGAAAGTAAGTGAGTTCTGGACGGTTCTAAGGACCGCTACCGTTTGAAGGCTCTTTTGTTGTAGATGGTTCTCATGGACAGACCTCTGAAGGTCTCAGCGCTCCTGTTTGAGCTCCTCTCTTCACTTGTAGGAAATCAAAAAGTTTCATTTGACTTTTGACTCTGAACAAGTCAGCATAACAAAAAGCTGATCATTCAGGATTTTGGTCAGGTGCTTTTGACACGAGGACACCGGCTGCTGATGTTTTAACCCTGAAAACGTTCATTAATGTCTCCACATGCGTTAATCCATCCATCACCATTCTGACTCCATTCATGCCTCTGACGGGTCTTTAGTTTCCTTTTGTTCGTTAGTTTGAAGAAAAAAACCACTTCCCTTAATGTTTTCATCACAAACCAGGAGAATTAAATGTTTGATTTGAGATAACGGTCTCTTCCTGTCTGATTTTAAATCTCTTCATCTTGGTTTTTAACACCCGGCGTACAGTTTCATAGTTTACATTTATTCTATAATGTTTTACATGTTGTTGAAACTGAAGTGTTTAAAATGTTTTGCTTGCATTTGTTTTATTCTTGAGCCATGCTTATGCAGTAATCCTCACATTTATTCATATCCTTCCAGACAAAATTCACAGAAGTCACTAAAATAATTAGATACTCAAAATAAAGCAAATAGAAAATGCCTAAATTATAATAAGGCAAAAATAATTAAAATTGGAACGCTCTACTGCCATCGTTCGACAACAGGAAGCGCTGCAGGCACAATGAAA